TGCATGCACACACATAGCCTGAGCTCACGTACTCTGAAGTGCCCCTCCAAGAAAATGTCAGTCAAAAAAAACCCACTGAAAGTGCATGACAAAGTAAGAAGCTGAAACCCACTTTTGCAAATTTATATCCATCTGCAGAGGGGCTGTTAAAAAGCCTTACCCCCTTCCTCCAGTGAGAAGGGGCCTCCATCCCAACATCCTGTCCCCCCCACCACGCACGAAAGGAACAAGTTACAGAACAAACCTCTACAGCCTTCAGCAAGAGGCACAGGCTGTTAAAAATAGCACAATTTCAGCTTTCCCCCACCCCCCCAGCCTCCACACACACTGAGAAAGCAGACCTTGAACCCAGCGACACAGTACTTTCCTCCTGCCACTGACTGGTGACTCAGTTGACAATTTTAGGAATGCAAACCAAGAAGATTAAAAATAATAATAATCATACAAGAAACACAGAGCTATACAATGCAAATCTGTATTTGTTTGAAATTGAGGAAAATAAGCATTACCTGTTCTTGTTGTTGGGCTTGTTTCCCTGATGCATTTTGCTCCTTGGCTGTAGTCATGCTCACCTATTTGTGCCCACTGCAGTGGCAAACAGGTTTTTACAGTGTGTGTGCGTGTGTGTGTAAGCTTGTCTGTGTGTGTTCAGACATGCACGCACACACACACGCACACAAAGACTAAAGGGATGAGTAACTAGTCCATCACTTAATCACCAGCTGAGAAATTTCCCACCCCCACAAAAAGAAATAAATAAAAATGCAATGTAAAAAAGCACTAGTCTAGCTGTCTTCCCCCTTGAGCCTCTAAATTAAAAGCAGAAGCAGGAGCAGAGAGAAGGATGCTGTGGGGGCTTCTTCAATTAGCAACAGCCTCTGCAATCGTCACAGAAACAATGATAACTGCTTGGCAACCAGCAACTGGCAGCTCGGAGCCGGGAGGCAGCGATGTGGTCCTCGCTCCCCACCTCCACGGCGGCAGTCCGTGCGTTGCGCATGCACCGGCCGCCTCGTAGCACAATGTGCCGCTCGCTGGCGATGTGCAGAGCCGGAGCTCGGCAGTCATCTCCCCTCCCGCCGCCGGGGGAAAGGGGCTGCAGGCACCTGGCGCTCAGGAATTAAATTCCGCATTCCCTGCGATGCTGGCAACGGGAGTCCCGCGGATGTGGAGTTTCTGGCAGACGCACTCTTGTCTTCTCCCCACTTGCAGACGTTTCAATGCCCTGGCAGTCTCCGGCTATGAAGGAAAGCTGTGCCAAGGTTAGACTCTGCCCCGCTGCCAGGGCAGTTTTGGAGGATGCAGTGTCCGTTCCCAGGAAAGCAGGTTCCCACCGATGGGATGCAGAGAGCACCAACGCTCCCAGGGAGCTGCTTGCCTCACTGCCAAAGGGTGGCACGTTCACCAGGGTAAAACATGCCCCCAGCTTCCCCCGGCCCTCTCCATGTCCCTGATGTGACGGGGGCCACTTTGCATTTCTGATATCATGGCTGCCTCCTGCGCACTTGCAGCTGCCATGTAGGTCACATTGCAGGGTGACACACCAGCATGCACTGCCTGCTCCACTCCGCGCTGCCATAGCTCGCTCCCTGCAGACTCCCTGCCATAACAGAGATCTCTCCAACACGGTGCAGCTGTCAAACAAGCCTTCCTTGCCCGCTCAGCCACCTTGCTGTCAGCATGGGGTGACATGGGGTGTGCCTGAGCATGAGGCATAAAGCAAGTAGCGCTCTCCAGTAACCCTCAGGGGACCTTAAAGAGTTGGACAAAACTTAGAGCAGCATGAAGGTGGTTCAATATTTGCTCAGGACTGATGCAAGCCCTAGCTCACCTCAACGTCAGGTGACATGAAACTGCCATGTTGCTGCTTTTTGCCTCCTCACCTCTTTCCCAGTGCACCCAACGTACTGGGCTGGATCGAGCCCAGAGCTCGCCTCTGTGCTGTAGTGCTGTAGAAAAGCTAAATGTTTTCTCACATGATAGTGGGATCTCTGCTGAGTCTGCAGATAACCAGCTAAGGAAAGAAGGGAACATCAGAGTATTGATCTGACAAGGAAGTGATTATGCCCCATTTCATCCTCAACTATACAGGACAGATTTATTATACAAAGTCACATTCACCAGGCACACAGCTCCGCTGGAGGCAATCTCTTCCTACACCCAGGATAAATTTGATCCTTGGTTCAGGGACAGATCAATGGCAGGCCAAGTTTTCCTAGAGATGATCTACTAGCCACCAACTCAGACCTTCTAAGTACTTCTGCATTTTTACCATAACATATCACATCAGTTCACAGAAGCTATGACATAAAAGATCTGCAACACAGAATTGTGCTGGTAGGAAACTGGACAACCTTGCCTGGTCCCAGGCGCCAGGATCCAGGCAACAGCTCATTAAAAAAGTGAATAGCACCTCTCTAACAAGCAATAATTTACATTTAAATCTAACAGCCTGTGTCAACCTCTTGCTGGGTTATACTATGACACAGTCCCAGCTTACACTGCAATTTCATCTCCTTAGTCCCAATAGTTTTAGTCACAATATTTTGTAGATGTTTATAGTGAGGTTATTCTTGCTCATACTTTTTTCCCCAGCCATCAGAACAGAATTGCTTTCAAGGTCTTGTATAAGTGGATCGGTCTGAATTTTCCAATTGGCTTGGTCTGTTTTTCTACCTGTTGTGGGTAGTAATGAAGGCTTGATTTACACCACACTTTTGCTGAAAAGGAATTCAAACAAAACAAAACCATATTTTGGGTTTTATTACTTCCTTACAATATATCCTGGAAATTTCTGCAAAACGGATCCCTCTTGCTATATAGACCATTCACTGTGTCCCTGACCCCTCAGTACTTACACTGGCAATCCCTGAACCTAACTGCACTTTTATTGAAAATAAGTATATTTGTACCTGTCTGTTTACCCTTGTATGCCCTCCCCATGCATATTCAATTCTTTCATGGTTAACAATTTAAGACACACAGTTTTCAGTAGCTCTGGAAATGGCTACTCTTCCTTACAGTGTAGATTTTTCCTAAAAGTTTGTTGTTGGACACATAAGAAGTTATTCGTGCTAATCAGTCCAGCAGTTAGCTATGCAAATGCATATGGCTTAGCCTCATTACATAGGTGCATTATGATGCTGACTGTTCTCACTGCACCTCCCAGTGTTTTGGCACGGTTACCCTGATGTTATTGAAATGCCCGGTGGTACCTCTCTGTCACCCCTGACCTGTGCGGGGGGGGGTCATCCCCTCAGATGGCCACGAGCTGCTGCTCACTGCCAGGAGGATGTGGAAGCAGGGCACAGTCACGTCCTCCAGCTCTCTGCCACCATCCTTCCTTGATCAAAGGGGTTCAGAGGTTGCCAGACACCTCCTGGGGAGACGCTAGAGGGGGGAGCAGTGGCCATTGTCATTCAGAAATACTCATTATTAACAGGCACAGGATAATCTGCTCACATATTAGCAGGACTGAGGCCATCCATCCTGACCTCTGTGCTATGTTAGGGTACCAACTTTATTGCTTGGCTGAGTCATCACTTATGAAAGATTAATACATCCCTATCACAGGACAAGAATCAGTATCTGCCAACCTCAGCAGCTGCCCAGGCAGAAGGATTTATACAGACAGTCCCACTTAGGGCATTGCAGGAGGCACTGGCAGATAAGAACCCTGGGAATATGACCTTGCCATCCATCCCACCCCACAGCATCCCAGCTGATCACAGGGATACAGGCAGCACATTTTTCCTCCCTGCCAGGTTTGAAGAGGCATCAGGCTGTTCATCCCCTACCACCCATCATTTGCAACAGGTTTGTCTCCACTGGCTGGCTGGGCTATGCGCAGGGTCTATCTCCAGGCTCACTCCCTGCCACACAAGCTGCACTCCCATGATGAGCGTCCTCCATTAATCCATGTAGTCCACGCCGTGCCACCACTGGGAGAGCTCAGGAACACTGCTATGAGCACAGACAGACAGCTCTCCCCGTTAACCAAGACGCATATTCAAAATGCCAACTATAATCACATGAATGGCATCCCCACACTTGACATCAATTAGCTCCTCCAGCACCATGGCAGGACAGAGCCATTTCCCTCCCATCAGGAGAGGAACCAGTGACACATGAAAGGACCTGTTCCTAGCTTCTCAACTCATCTTCACCCAGAGTGCTCATTTCAACAAAATCACGCAGCGCTGCAGTAAGACAGATAATTTTTAATTACCTTGTAACAAATTAGTCACACATATCCTAGAGCCTTTCCTGTTAGAAGGGAAGTGCTTCATTCCACTGAGACTGACAGGAACAGGATTGTGGTCTGGGATCATTCTCAAAATACTCCCAGGAGTTCCTGGAGACCATCTCCATCACCACCACAAAGCTCCCTCGTGCTCAAAGATTGTTGTAAACCTTGCACGTTGCAAATGAAAAATAATGCTACAATGGCTCTGGAAGACAAGGTGGACTAAACCCTTAAAAAGTCATCACCATGAAGACCTATGAACTCTTAGGAGCTAAAGCACAATAACCATTGTTTATGACCATGCATTACAGCAACGGATACTTGGTTTTTATTGCTCCCAAAGATTCTCAAGCAGATCAGTTTACTAAGACCATCCTTGATCCTGCCCCTCCATCTAGGTAGAGATCTCTGCTGCCCATGGATGCAGAGAAGCCCCTTCATGGGGGGGAAGCAGCAATGGGCTCTCAGGAGTCAGTGCAGAGCATTCCCATCCCCTGCATGTTACAGAGGCCAGATTCAACAGCAGCCTGTGCTCACAGGGAGCCCTCCAGCTGCACGCGTCTGTTCAAGGGAGTATAGACTAAGCAAGGGCAGTAATAAGGCTGCAGCAGCAGTGGGTATAGTTATTGGATGCAGAACCCTTCTGCTCCTTTGAAACCTGGGGTTCTGGCTGTACCACACTGGGCTATTTATTACCCCTTCATTACCACACCAAGGAGGTTGAAACCAGTGGGCAGAGTGGGTAGAAAAGAATTCTACTTGATTAACTATACCTTTGCACAGTCTGCTAATGTTCTCCCCCCGCCAGATAAAGACCAAATACCATGGAGAGCTGTGTATTGGAAATTTTTAGTGAGTCTAAAGCATTAGTACCTGGGGTGTGGTAATGTGATACCTCCAGAAGAACACCACCGCATGATCTGCTTTTGTACAGCCAGTCCCTCTGAGCTTCACACTTGCTACCAGTTCCCATTGGTTTGGCTGGCTTGCTTTCAGTTTGGGGAGGACATGTGGCCCAGGAAAGCACGTACACCGGCAATCTGTGACAACAGGAAAACCTACTCACAGAGGGGTTACAAAGGAAAAGTCCTAAGGGTACAGTTTTTAGGATACAGTGTTATGGAGGTAGTAGACCTGAGTAAGATAACTCAGGAAGAGAGTCTGCCAGGACAGACATCCAGTGTAAGAAAGGTGAGATGAGCTTGTAAAAATGTTGTAGCCATGGATTTTAGCATTCAGTCATTTGAAAGGTGATTGATGTAGCTTGGATCAAAACAAGCCCAAAGGATGCAAGGGGAACAGTGCTCAGTATGCATCGGT